CCAACAAACCCTCTGACACATGAGGCATGTTAAGAGTTGAAAATATTCATTTATTTTACAAGTAAAAATTTTTGTCAACATTGAAAATAGTAATTTCAGTAGAATGGGGTTTTTGAAAAATCGTTTATGAAGGCCTTCATAAAAGCCCTTCATCACCTAACTTTTCTCCTAGTAAGTCACTTTCATTTCTCTCTCATCACGTTTTTAAAAGGCAATAATTCAATTTGCTCATTTGATTTAGGAAGAAAGGAAAAAAATCTTTCCTTTGTCACAGATACAATGACTACCAATGACTCAAGAGATGTTTTGGCATGTGTCAAATCAGAAAGCAAGAAAAAGTACTATTTCAGTCTTCTGATAATAAACCTTTAAATATTCTGGCTAATTGAAACCAAGAAAAAAGAGAGGTGTCAAAAATGCAATATTTAAAATGTGAAAACATTGCCCTGAGTAGATATTTCACCAAATAGAAGTTATCAAGAAAAAATTTATAAAAAGGAAAAGTTCTCCCCAGCCTTCTCTGTTGACATACAAAATGAAGACTATTCAAAGTGAAACTGGGTAATAAATATTTACCAATTTAATTTCCAAAATCTACCCTGACTCTTAACACCCTCCTTGATCAGCCTACAACTCATACCTCTAAGTTTACTTTCCACTACTCACTTCAATATCAATATATTATTAGTGGTTTCTTGATACTTGTGTGATGAAACCTCCAGAAGGTCCATCTTAATTGTGGTAATGTTTTAACATTTGCATACACAAATGTGTTTTCTCAATTAGCAGCTACTAAAAACTTAAATTAAGATCCTATGCATGACAGCTTTAAAAAAGAATGAAATTAATGCATTTGCCAGTAAATGGATGGAGTTGGAGATTATCATGCTAAGCAAAATAAGCTAATCCTAAAAAACTAAAGGCCCGTTTTCTCTAATATGCAGATGCTAATTCACAACAAGGTTGGGGGGGGGGACTAGAGAAGAATAGAGTTACCTTAGATAACTAAGAGGTAGAGGGAAGTGAGGGGAGGAGAGGGGATGTGACAATTGGAAGGATAGTAGAACAAAACAGACATTATCGTTTTATATATATATATATATATATATATATATATATATATATATAAAACCAGTGTGATTCTACAATGTGTACACTTAGAAAAATGGAAAATTATATCCCATCTGTGTATGATATATCAAAGTGCATAAATGCATTCTACTTTCATGTATAACTAATTAAAACAAATAAAAAAATGAAAAATGAAAAAAAATCAAGGGCTGGGAATATATTTCAATTGATGGCGTACTTGCCTTGCATGCACAAATCCCTGGGTTCAATCCCCAGCACCACCAAAAATATATATATATATATATATGTGTGTGTGTGTGTGTGTGTGTGTGTGTGTGTGTGTATAAAAGCTCCTATAAATGAATGAATGATAATATTTTAATGTTATTAAAAGGGAGCCTTGCATTTGAAAAGATTGGAAGCCACTGTGTTATTTTGGTTTCATTCATTATTCACCAAGTATGTCTCATGCTTTCTTTTTTTATGCCATCAACCACACTTCTCTTTCTATCTGGAAAGTTGCTTTCTTTCTTTCTTTTTTTGGTACTGGGGATTGAACTCAGGGGCACTTAACCACTAAGCTACATCCCCAGCCCTTTTCTGTATTTTATTTAGACAGGTCTCACTGAATTTCTTAGGGCCTTGCTAAGTTTCTGAGGCTACTTTTGAACTTGCAGTCCTCCTGCATCAGCCTCCTGAGTTGCTAGGATTACAGGTGTGTGAAACCATGCCCAGCTATCTATTCATTTTTTAAAAATTTTTTATTGGTGCATTACAATTACTCTTAATACTGGTGATGGCTTCCTCTTCTAATCAAGATAAACTGAATTATGGTTTCTCATTTCTCTAGTGCCTATCAAAGTGCTTTCTGTCCCTACTTTCTTTATATCTGTATTTTATGTCATCTGTACCTACACTGTCTAATGTCTTATTTCTCTCATTGGATAAAAAATTTCCTAGTAGCAGAAATATCTCATATTCATTTTTAAAAATAACTATTTATTTATTCTTTTATGTGGTGCTGAGGATTGAGCTCAGTGCCTCACACATGCAAGGCAAGCACTGTACCACTGAGCCACAACCCCAGCCCTCTCATATTCATTTTTAAAATTTTACAGATAATGTGTTCTTTCAAACTGTAAATTAGAAGAGACTAATCACCAAAACTGTAGGTAATGTAAAATCATTCATATACAAGTTCTAAATGACAGAAGCAATATATTCTAAGAGATGGTTTGTAAGTATGCTGTCAGGAGGCTAGAGCATCTTCCAAGTCTCCATTGAATAGAAAAAGTATACCTCTGAAATACTAGTGGAGAGAAGTAAGAAAAGCTGTGGTTATTGTAACTTTGCTTAAGATTAACAGGTCAAATATAGACAACAGAATATAGACAAAGAAGCAATGAGGAAGCTTTGATTAGGCAATAAGAATCCTCTGGGCACCTGCAGATTTATACCAAGGGGCACTCATGAGTGCAATGATCCTTGTTCTGAAGATCATTCTGCATCTGATCTTAATCTGACATCCCAAATATACTTTCTCTTAGGAAAGAATGACCTGATCTGTTAACATGTTTTTCTAACATCTAGTGTGTGTGTGTGTGTGTGTGTGTGTGTGTGTGCGCGCGCACGCGCGCACTAACGCACGCATGCTTACATGTAATGTATACATATTGCACTGTAAATAAGTAAGTTCACATTCTGACTTATTATAAAAGATCCATTAACAAAAGTCCATCTTCCATCGACCTTTTAGTCTTACTACACATGAAAAAATGGATAAAATAAATTTATGTGCAAAACTGACAGCTAAAAGCTAGAAAGCACTGCACCATTATTTAATTGCCACCATTGTTTAATTGTTGTCTCTTGCGCACTGGAGGTGTGTAAGCAACATTTATGAAGTGAATCAGTGAATAAAAACTGCAACCTTGATTAATATCAACTGAAATCAGTTTGGAGTAGCAAATAATACCAGATTAAAGTCCTTTTTCAGAAGTCAATATAGTCACTTTTATTTGTGAACCACTTTCACTATTCATTCAGTAATGCTATTCCCAGCAAGCAGTCTTTTCAAATGTGGTTTAAAAAGACCACAGACTGCATAGTATTTTGAGCATGTCAATGATTTCCTTGTTTATAGTTAATGAAAACAGTATGTATAATAATGGTATTGCAATCATTCAGGTTTGCTACATGTAAATTATATTTTGAAACATTAAAAAAGTTGCCATCAAATTCAATTTAAAACTTTCCTTTCATTCTTTTTTGATATTGTGTGCAAGCCAAAATTTCCTGGTAGTTACCTGTTTCAACCAAAAAAGCTTACTTAGTTTTAATCAAAATTAAATAAATTATCTTTTAAATTATGATTATTTTCTAAATCTTCCAGCTAATGGTAGAATCTTTTAAAAATATTTTCATTAGTGCATTATAGTTATACATAACAGTTAATTTCATTTTGAATGCTCATAAATGCATATAACATAATTTGCTTCATTTCAATCCCCAAAACTTCCCATCTCTCCCTTCCTCTCTCCCGCAACCACTTTCTTCACTGATATTCTTCCTATTTATTTATTTTTATAGCATCAATGATAGAATATTTTTAAATATTGAAGAAATTCCAAAATACAAACAAAAGGAATATATTGTATATTGGCAAATATCAAAGAAATCACCATTCCCAAATAATAGAAAAACAGAAAAACTAAAAGCATTTTAAAATACATATCTTTAAACAATTTTATCAATGTATTATGACATTTTGCTCAGTAAAGATTTATTGAATTTCATAATCTTATTACAGTAAGTTCTAAGTTTTCAAAACTTTTCTAATTGGAAAAATATTATCTGTTCAAGGCCTTTCATCTACAATGAAGCTAACAAGAACCTGGCATTTTGATTTTTCTTTAAAATTACATCATTTTGTTAATATACTGAATTTTATTAACTTTGCTTAAAACATATTTTTTTTAAAGATTCAACAAACAGGAATCTATTTTTCTGTTTCATGTAACCTTGAATGTTCAATACAATTCATGTATTATATTTCAAATCTTTCAGGTAGAATAATAACTGAGAAATATATTAAGGCAAATTAGGAAGAAATTATTTTAAAAAAATCTATTGAATTTTCTTGGGGACAAAAAGGACATAATATGTTTCATTCTTGATCAGATATTAGAAAAATAAATTGTTCTAAGGAAGTATAAAGATATCACTGATGTGAAGAGCATATAGTTACTGGAAAAAGTGTTCTATTTCTAATCAGAGATTAACGCCTCCATAGCAATTGCTACAAGTCTTCTGGATCTGCAGTCTGAGATTTAATCAAATGAGAATTTTTGTCCTTGTTATTCTTTCAACCCTCTTGGCTCCTATGGAGCTATGCTGAGGGAGCAAAGACAGCTAGAAAGTGACTGAAATACTTTCAAAATGATACAATCCAGTTCTCTCCGCTGCTGGGCAATTCCTCCTTTATTCCTACATGAATTAGAGGAAATGGTGATTGGAAGTTCATTTCTTTTTATGTTTGTTAATTTTGTTTTATTAATTGACTTGACAGCTTACTATACTCTGAATGCTATTTTGATTTGTTATATGAGTAAATGTGTTCCATTTTATTTTCCACCAAATGAAGTTGATTCAATTAGGGTTTAGAATTTAAAAAAAAAGAAAAAGATAGTCAACATATATTTTCCTGAACTATAACAAAAATATACTGTTGCTTACCTGTTTCATATATATAATTCTTAATTTATCAACAGGATTCAACGTTTTCTCTACTTTTGTGTTTCTATAGCACATGCATAATATTTAACAAATATTTTGAGCCACTGAAACATATTTTAACATGCTAAAAAGTCTGTGCAGTTAATTAACAGTAAAAATTTTAATGCCTGATAATACATATAAATTATGATTACCTGGTAGTGATTTAGACCACTTGACTACTGTAAGAAGTTGCCTTTCACATAGTTGATTAAGACTGGTCAGCAAAGAGCTGGAGGTGTCCGGTTTTGTGTTGTCATGTCCTGCATAGACCACATCTGGTTCAATGTTCATCAACAGGCTGATCAATGAGGGGATCAACTGAATATCTTGACTTGGTGAAAAAGTGATTCTCTGGCTTAGGGCCTGGCTTTCATTCGAAATGCCCACTGGCTGAGAGAGAGCAACACCATCCAGTGCTCTCATAACTCTGACTTTATTGAATTTTTTAAACTTTCGACCTATGAGAAGAACAAAGAAGGACATATAAATACATACTAACTAAATATCCGTAGTATAATGATTTTCTTAAGCTGTAGAATCACAGCATTATGGATTTTAGCATCAATCCAGTAAAATAAAATAAAATCCAATGTTACATCTTAGATTTGAATTAAATGACATGAGTGTCCATTGGGTTAGTGGGTTATGGGTAATTACACAAGAATCCAGCAGGGGTTTTTGAAGCTCTGTGTGAAAAAAGAAATGAAAAGACAAGTAGCTTTTAGTAGAAAATACCCTCACTATTCTTCTGACAGGACTGTTTCCCAGAAGCTAATGCTACAGACTACATTAATTGAAGTATAGTTCATAGAAGTTGTTGGGAGTTGTTGGGGTTTTATTCTTTTAAGAAACTTTTAAAATATATGCATATATGCAAACCTCACAAAATTTTTTATTCACTTTTAGCAGGTTCATAGATGTACTGAAATCAAAGCATGGACTATTCTGAGACGGAAGGTACCAAAATTAAGAACACCTTTTCTAAATTGAGGGAAGATGGAGTTTGCACCTTGCAGTCCATGCTGGTCAGACACATTTGCATTTCTAAACAATTTCCAGGATTGCTACTTTGATCAATTGTAGAGTGTTAGGAAGAACAAAATGCCTGATGGTGAGATGAGTAGAATTTGCCTCATTAGGACAGATTGAAGGGGATCATGATGCTGATCCCAGCTGCTGCTACTTCTCAGATGTCCTAGCATGAATTAGAGAAAGTCATGAAGACCTGAAGGCATGTGTTGTTTAGCCCCCCCACCTGCTCTGTGCCATGCATGAACTGCCTACCAGTGTGAAGCAACTGTGCTGCTTGCTGACTGCTTACAATAATCTAGACCTGGTCTGGCTCACAGACATGTTTTGTTTGGCTCATACAATGCTGGCCAGAGTTATAAAAACATCCTTGAATTAGTTAGGTGGCAGCAATCTGTTAAAGCTGTTTCATCTGCTGCTTTTAGATGAGGCATGGGCATTACAGACTGCCCAATTCCCACCACCATAGGCCCAGTGGTTAGTTGAAGTTTTACCATCACTCTACCCAGTTAAGTAAGCTACTTGCTGGACTATGTAAACATGAGTCTTTGTGATTTTTGAGTTCAGGTATTATCATAAAGATAAAGGATTCTACTTGTTTTATAAAGCTCTAAAGAGTTGAGCTAGAACTTTTAGGTAACAGTAGAACAATTGTCAGGATCAATATGCAAAAAGAATTCAGAACTGTAAACAGAGTTCCAATGGGTTTCCTGGGGAAGGAATGGGTCACTCGAGGAAAGGGAAATAATATTTATGAAGGGAGCATTTACTAGTGGATGGTAAAAATTTTATATGTGTATCTTTTAAGCCTTATAGCAGTCTTGCAAATTAAGAATAATTAACTCCATTTGTAGAATAGGAAAAGGAAAAGTGGAGACGACGTCTTGCACAGTGTTAAGAGTAGTAGATCTCAGATTACGTGGCTCCTAAACCCCAATCCTTCCTAACCCCTGACACTAACTCACTGACATTTCAGCCATGGGCTGCATTTTTATTTGGTAAGATTCTGGCAGAGAGTTTAGGCAAGAGACTGAAGGAAAAAGCACAAAATTTGAATTTAGTAATTTTTAAAGTTGGTTCCAATCCCCAAATAATATGATTAACAGAAAACATAACACACCCACCTGAAATCAAACACTGTTTTTCCTTCCAATTTGTTTTTTTTCTTTATATTTTGCATTTTATTCATAATAATGAAATGCTTAGTATTTAATGTCCTAAGGGTAATTTAAATCAGAAAGTTGGATTCTAAAGAAAAGTCAAATTTAGTACTTACATTTAAGATGTACTGCTTTTATATTTATAAAAAACAAATCTTTATATCTTCTAGAGGGCTACACAGATTGAATATAAAAAATCAAAATTTCCTTCAGTTATCTAAACCAGGTCATTTTATAGTTTAGTGGTATAGTAATTCAAGTGGTATAGTAATTTTTGCTTTCAGTTAAAAAAAAAAAAAAAACAGAAAAAAAGGTTAAAAGACTCATACCCACCCCTTCCAGTTGTCCTATTATCATTGTCATCTTTTAGCTATTAAAAAATTATTTACAAACCATTTTATTGTGATTCATAACACAATTGAAGCACACAGCTAAAGCACATCTTTGTAAAGCTAATTCCCAGCCCCAGGTGTAGAATGGTGCAGCACCCCAGGAAGCCCTCTGAACCTTGACCCTCAGTGGACATAACTAGCCTGCCTCCTGCAGCAATTCTTCCCTTGCTTTTCTTCTTACTCTAATTTATTTTAACTTCCTTTCTCTGTTTTACACCCTTAGGGTGCTCTCTTCATCAGGATTTTATTACATTATGAAATGCTGGAGTCTCTTTGAAAACAGAAGCAAATGCTTGACACACCGATTAAACTTTAGAAAGTATTTCTAAAATAAAATGAAATCCCCAGACAATTTACTAACAGTTCTGCTTATGATCAAGTCTTTTCACAAGTGCCAGGGAAAATATGAAAATACACAATAAACACAAAGTCCAAAAGTGAACTAACTCCAGTCAGAATGGCAATTATCCAGAATATGCATGATAACAAAAGCTGGCAAGGATGTGGGGGAAGTGGTGCATCCAAATATTGTCAGCAGGACAGCAAATTGTCAGGGAAAAGCAGTATGGAGATTCCTCAAAACACTAGGAATAGAACCACCATTTGACCCAGCTATCCCACTCCTTGATATTTACTCAAAAGAACTACAATCAGCAAACTATAGTGATATTACTGCTTCAGTGTTCATAGCAGCACTTCACAATAGCCAAGTTATGAAATCAGCTCAGATACCTGTTGATAGTTAATGGATCAGGAAAATGTGATACATATACACAAAGGAGTTTTACTCAGTAATAAAGAAGAATGAAATCATTGCATTTGCCAGGGAATGGATGGAACTGGAGAACATCATGCTAAGTGAAATAAGCCAGACTTATGAAACCAAAGACCAAATGTTTTCTCTCATATGCAGAAGCTGGAGAAAAATAAGGGGGAAAATAGCAGGGGGGCGGGTCAGATATCATAAAGATCAATGGAGTAGAAGAAGTAGGTCAAGAGGGAGGAAGGAGGGATGGGAAAGGAAGGAAATACAGAATAAATATAACAAAATCATGCTATATGCACATATAAATATACCATAGGGACTTTCATCTGTATAGTAAATGTATAAAGCAGCAATCAAAAATAAATAATGAGTGAAAGGAAGATCAGCAGAGTACAGGAAGAAGAATAGCAGGAGGGAGAAAGGGAGGGTAAGTGGTGGAGAATGTGGACTGAAATGGAGTAAATCAGATTCCATGCATATTTGATTTTGTCAAATGAATCCAACTACTATGTTTAACTATAATGCTCCAATTTTAAGAATTAAAAAATTTTTAAAAAGTGAACTAACATTGAGCTAGGTCACTTATATACCTTATCTAATTGATTAAAGCCTTTGAAATAAAGATTAGCATTTTAAAGATGAAGGATTAAATCATAGAGGTTAACCGGCCAAATTCCTAATGATAATAGATTACAGAGAAGAGCTATTAATCAAAGGCTATCTTCATTTATTTTTTTATTCAAACACGAAACATTTATTGGCTTCCTGTGCCAGGCACAGACTAAGGTTTGAGACCACAGCAGTAACCACAAAGTGTCTCCTTTTGGGACATCTATATCTGGTGGTAAGATGCAGAAGATAGAAAGGGTCCTTGATGAAAGAGTGAGTTAGTGCTAAACAATGGTACATGTTATGGATAAAATATATGCACTATAATAGAAAGTGACTTGAAGGAATGGTGTAGCATGTATGGTCAGGGGGAAAACTGGTTAACTTCAAAGCTGGAGGTTTCCATTAGATCCTACGGTTGCCCCTTTCAATGGCCATTATTTCCTGAAGTCCATTGACTAATGACTCTTTGGGAGCTAATCAAGCAGTGGCCATCAAAGGAGAACTTTTCACACCAGAAGAATCATATTTAATAATTTTTAAAAATGTATAGTATTATTAAGACATATTTTCCTAAAGTATTAAATTGCTACAATCTTGCCACATCTATCATCTACCTCCTATCATGACTATCAGTTTGTTCTTCCAAAATACTTGTAGAAGACATAGTAAACCATGCCTTTGTCTGTAGCTTATGAAAGTATTAAAAAAAAATGGGGTTGGCCATATCTGGGTATGGATCCTGTCATATAAAAACTTCTTATCTGGTATAGATTAGTTTACTTGACCAGATTAGTTTACTTGACTACATATCAATTTACTCATTTTTTTTCAATTAGGGTATATAATAATTAATTTGCAATATCATGGTTAGCCTAGGAAAGATGATGTGTAAAGCCACATAGTAGAGTGCTTGGACTACAGTAGACACAAATGGTAGTCAGGACTTTTGGAACTTGATTGGAAGGAAGTAAGGAAAAAAAGGAAACTATACCTTTGGTTAGTTTTCATTATCTGGTAAAAAATAAGTGTTCCTAATCATATATTCTCCTTTTCCCCCAATCTAAGCGCACAATGGCATCTATGACCATATATAAGACCAGCTGGATTGTCACCATTAAAGACATGTCTTTTCCTCAGTGCATCTCACAGCCTTTAATACACTGTATGAATCATGAATTTCTAAGACAATAATATTAATATGTAGCATTTCTCAAGTATATCTTACCTCTTCACTTGATTAAAACCTACTGCCATCTCATAAAAGTAACATCTTAGAAAGCATTACTTTAGAAAGTTTTCTTTTTCTGAGTCCTGCTTTCAAGATCAAGCCTATGATTTGGACCTTCTTATTTCCATTATCTAGTATCTGGTCACAGATTTTTCTCTTAGCAAATTAAATGAAACTGTAATTCATTTGGTTAGCTGTGTATTTAATAACATTTAGTTATGAACCATTATCTTTGGTATCATATGAAATATGAACCACAAAGTTACATGTG